ATCATGCGATCTGAAAATCATAGAAAATTACTGAAAAGCCAGGAAACTTTGTACGTTCTGGCCGGCATGGTTGCCCCTGGACTTGAGATGTCGTAATTTCGCCTTCGCCATAACGGCTACGCGGCACGGAAGTACTTTCCCCACCCTTCGTCTTTCATCCTCCAGGTTTTCTTCTTCGACTCGAAACAGAAAGCTTCGTTCCTGGCCCTCCCTTCCTACCCCCCCCCCTTTTCCGTAATAGTAGAAGGGTTAGTGAAACAATGGCACGCGCGCGAACACCGTTATTTAAATAACACGATCGTGGGGTCGAAGGTAAAAAAATTTGCGCTCAAGGGGATGGAACGTGAGAAAGACGCGTCTAGGCGATCCACTGTTCGAAGAAGCCGCCAAATTTTATTCGGAATCTTGCCCCCCTCTCTCGTCTCTATTCTCCATTGGCTTCTCTCGATTGGAGGATCGCAATAATATCTGCTCGGGGGATGGCAAAAAATTTTACCATTCACTTTGAAAGTCCTGATACTTGTAACATTTTAAATAACACGGACGTTAGGGATGATTTGAACTAGCGAGTTCACCATTGAAAGTAACGTTGTGTACAGAAAATAAAAATAAAAAGACACGGTGTAGTATTTTAGGAACACCGGTTGCACCAAACTGTGGCAGAATGCAAAGCTCGAAATAAATTTCTTATCGATTCAAGGGAGAACATTGTGAGCTGTCCTCTCACAAGTGTTCGTTAATTGAAACTAAGTACTTCTTTGTATATTACCGAAAAATATTGAGAAGTGTTCTAAATAAAACTTGCTATTTTTAGGAGCCAGTGAATCAGTAGGGAAAATTGTCAAATGGAGGGTGTAAAATTTACATTATTAAAATGAAACTCTGTTTAAACTTCCAGGCTTCCTAAAACAGCGCAAGTTTAATTCGAAGCATTTTTCAATATCTTTTATTATTTTCAAATTTAAATTTAATGTTAAGCGACCCTCGATACGACTTGGACGAGTGATATAACACTTTGGGACATCGATGGCAGAAATTGGTTACGAATGAACAGAGTAACCATTGGTAGCTAGGACGTAATCGGTACTTTCAGTTGTTTGAGTTATCGGGAAATTATACCGGCCGCGAAATCGATATTTCAGAGGTCCCGATCAACAAGGAACTTTCGTTTGGAATAAGAACGAATTCTTTTCGACCGTTTACGCCTTTTGAGCGGAAGATTCAACGAGTATCGATCTCGAGAGCTCGGAACTTCTTCGCCATCCCTCCGTTTTTCATCGTCTTCCTCTTTTCACCGGTGCAGTTCCGGTTCTGGCAGCTGTCGTCGATTCAAGATTGGGACTCCGGGATCGGTCAAGGGTAAGCCCGTGGCTGTGTAACGTTACCTTCGACGACGAACCGGTTTAAAGCGGAATGAAAGAGAGATTTAGAGGGAAAGAGTTGGGCGCAAAAAATTCATTTGAATCGCCGTGGGGTTGGGCAGAGGTGTCGAAATAATTGGATTTTAATTTTCGCGCCGATGAAAGAACAAAAACCACTCTTTCTCGCTGTTGCCGCCTATGCGCATACACACCCTCCTCCTCGTGAACCATGAGAACCGTTCGCCAACGAGTGTTTATACAACGTGTTGCAGCGCGTGAATGTTTTCGACTTTAAATTTTCCTTGGTGCCCTTTGTTTTCCCACGATACGCAACGCCGCGTCGATCATCGTACATTTCGAACACGTGCCCCAGTTTTTTACGATTATGGAAAAACCAATAAAGTTACATTCAAATTTTCACTACAGAAACGTTGAAATCTTTTTCATTCTAAATTAACACGAAATGCTATTATTTCATATGGACATACTTCCGCACTCTTTACTGTAATTACTTTATTGTATACGAGACGATATTTACTGGTTGAATAAATAAAATAAATAAAATTGAACGCAATATACTTTTGTTGTATCGGTACATATTCTCCTCGAATAGAATTTAACGCAAAAATTTATTAAGTTACTTGGTACACGAAATTTCATTTTTGAGAATTTATTGAATAAATGTATTCGACATTGACGGTGATTTTTAAGCGCTCTATTGCTGCTTTTATGTCTAACAAGTTGTGGATGTAACGAAATAGGTATAAAACTCGCCGTAATTGATAAGTGTCGAAACTCAATCGTTCGAAGACATTCCATAGATTAGTATGAACAAGAGTATTAATTTTCAACATAAATGTATCGGTGACATAAAGGTAAAGCTCAATTTCACGACTGGGATCGATTCTACACGATTTATCAGACTCTAATCTTGAAATTAGTTGATCAATAAATATCAATTACAATGATGAATATTATTTTTTATATTTATAAGTCGAAAAATAAATCGAAACGTTGATAAAAGAAAATAGGTGAAATGTTATCTGAAAAATGTACTAATTGCGTTTAAAGTTCAGACTGACTCATAAGTATTATATCGTTATTTTCTTTATTTCTATCTGGTTGTTAATGCAATGAAACAGGTATGCAATTTGACGCAATTGATAGGTGTCGAAACGATAAATGCCTCGATAAATCTTAAATCGTTGAAAGACATTCCTTGGAACACTTTCATAGAGGATTATCGTATTAAAAACTTAGTCAAGCTCCAGAACTTTTAATATCAAACTTTCTTCGATACTACAGTTCCTATAAAATTAATAAGTGTAATAATTCTAAATTTATATAGTTCAATTTTTCTTGTTCGGTGAATAGTTTGTCAAAATTTCATTGAATTATTGTATTCTAGACTCATGGCAAGTCTTAAAGGAAATTTGTTAAAGAATTTATCATTTTTAGAAGCAAAATTTTATTAACAAAAATCATCATTTTTTTATTTTGAATATTTGTTTATACGATTGTTTTTCAAAGCCTATTTTCGACACATGCTAGATAGTTTATGTGATATGTTAAATTTTCGAAGAAAATCAGCACCGTTTTCGATAACTACGTTCATCACTCCAGAAAATTCTATAAATCTTATATAAAAAACATCATAACTTGATGAATATTTGTTTATACGATTATTTTTCAAACCCTGTTTTCGACACTAGATAATTTATGTGATACGTTAAACTTTCGAAGAAAATCAGCACCGTTTTCGATAACTACGTTCATCACTCCAGAAAATTCTATAAATCTTATATAAAAAACATCATAACTTGATGAATATTTGTTTATACGATTATTTATCAGAGCCTGTTTTCGACACATATTAGATAATTTATGTAATACGTTAAACTTTCGAAGAAAATCAGCACCGTTTTCGATAACTACGTTCATCACTCCAGAAAATTGTATAAATGTTATAAAAAAAACATAACTCGATGACAAATGTGTCATGATTGAAAAATTGATCACAGTTAAAGATAGAAGCACTTAAAAATAGCACTTTTGACATTAGTAATTTGTTTATGAATCAGAGCTCAAAATACGCAGAATATTTGGAGGAATTGAAACCTGCAAAAATCTTAAAGAAACGCATGGCTTTGGGCAGGATTTTATCAACTTTTGGAATTTTTCGATAAATTAAGTCTCAAAGTTATAGAATATTCGTAAAAATCGGAAGATTTCGAGGCTATCTCCCTTAAAACGTAAATAAAACGACGATAACGAAACGCTTCTCGCTCGTATCGCCGGTCGAACGTATTCGCGAAACGATAAAGGCGAGCAAAGGTTCGCGGGCGCGTCGTTCGTTTCGTTTTGTCCCTCCCGATGGAGATCCTTGGCAGGGACGGTACAAAGAAGGCGAATGTTTTAATTAAATCTCGACAAAACGCGAAAACTTCGCCATCGCAAGGCGTTTTTGCGATTTTCCGAAAGTTTCGCCTCGCTCCGCGACTTGCTTTCAAGGTGGCGATGGACGAGTGGAGGGTGGAGGGTGGAACCGCACTCAGCCACCTCTTTTCCACCTTTCCATTCATCCCCCCAACGGTCGAGGGGTAGGGAATAAAAGAAGTCGCAAAAACAAAAGAGCGGCACGGCTACTTAACGAAACAAATTGTTGCTTCGTACTCGGTACGAGAATTTAAAAGTTTTTCACCGCTCCTCTCTTTGCTCCTTGTTCTCTTCGTTTCTTTCCCCTTGCCCTCCCCGCCCCCTCTCTATGGTTCTACCTACGGGGGCTACCTTTCTCCGTTTCTCCGCGGACATCGCGGTTCTTTCGAGTCGAACGATAGTCCGACTCGATTCACGGCTCGTTAGCGGTGCCTTCCTTTCCCCTCATTTCGGTCCTGGCTCGTAAAAGGACAACGCCATATACGCGGGGACTCGTATACTATCGATCGTGACGGACTGTCCCATTAAATCGGTTGCATCGTGCGTGGAATACGCGTATGGAACAATTAAACGCGGTATTGTCTCGCGGGGCTGCCGAGGTACCGTTCGTCGAGACGCTAAAGCCGGACGACGGTCGTCTACCCACGATACCGTCCGTGAAAATTTTCACCGCGCGTCCCGTGATTCGGCGTGGATCGCTCCTCGAACCGCCGCGCCGTGGCGGTCGATCGTTGGGACGATCGAGAGCTCGATCGTCGTCGACGGTTCTGTCTTACGTAAAGAGTAAACAACAAGTCATACAGAAGCACATACACGCACGTAGAGCATGCCAGCGGTGTTGGGGGGTGGGTAAAATAAACAAAAAAGAAACATCGCTACAACGAAAAATGAAAAAAAAAAAATGTACGCACGTATGCGACTAGAAACACTGGTGATGGGCGCGTCCTCGCTCGGAGGACGCACCGGAACCGAAACGAAACTCTCGTAGAATAAAAAACCAAGGATGCATCTGTTGCGTAGAACGTCAGCGGGTTGGTTGCTGCATGAACGTGCGGGAAGAACGAAAAAAAAAGAGATAAAACGACGATCCTGTTACGGGAATCGGCGAAAAGAAAAAGTGAGAGGTATATTGAACAGGAAGCTGCGTGTGACGAGGAGAAATAATAATAAGGGGATCTTGAACGGGCTGAGTGTTCAACTCACTCGTTGCAGGGTGGACCAGCATTCCTCGAGGGTGCGCTCGTTGATGTTGCCCATTCCTCCGCCGGCGCCTCCTGCACCTCCAAGTCCCGCCGCAGAGGCACGAGACTATCAGGCAAGACAGGAGGCTCGTGTTAGTTTACTTTTTCCATGCCCTGTTCGCTAACCAGTCATTACTATAAAATCGCTTGTCTAGCAATTCTCGGGACACTAGGTGTCTCTTAGCTGTTCCATTGTCGCGGAACGCAGAGATTCTTTAGAAAAAGTCTTGCTACGTAAAAAAAAAAAACGTACATAGTGTGTAACGTCGAAGCTGTCGATACAGGAAACTGGGTTGGGCTATAGAAAATTCGTAGAGGAGAAAGTTGTGACCAGCTAGGCCTTCTTATACCACGATTCTTTCCTCAAAGGCATTCCGCGTTATTGTGCGCGTAGAAGCTCGAGGCGGGCCTGCGGTAGTTTGAGAGAGTCGAAGAAATGGTATTTTTGTGAAAACGCCAGGAAAGAATAGGTACAAGTTTGAGACTTTTCCTCCGCGAATCGTCGTGGCTGCGTTCCAGTTTCCAGAATCACCCGGTACAGAAAATCTCGCGTGAAAACGACGCGAAGGAAAAAAAAAAGAAAAAGAAAAGGAAAAGAAGAAAAAGAGAGAAAAAGAAAACGTTTGAATTGCTATTAGCGGCGAGACCGAAGCGGATCCGCGGGGATATATTTACTTAGTTTCCTCGTATCGAAGCTCGCGGGACTGTGGCATCGCAGAAGCACGCCGCGATATTTTCTCGAGAACATCTTCTCGGCGTACCGTATGACGTATGCGTATAGTATTATCTGTGTTGCGCGGGTCAAGAACCCCGAGAGACGACGTATCTGCATCTCGTCGCATCGGTGTGCGTGGGCCGCGTTTGCATTTGTGGCCCCGTGACTCTAATGTGTGCGTGGCTGGCTGCCTGGCCGCCTGGCCGCCTGGCTGCTCGTTCGCTCGCTCGCTCGCAA